ATTTCTTTTGACGAATAGAAAAACCAAGATTTGATTGTTATTCTTTTTTTCGGTGATGCTATTTTCGGTCAGCAATGAAACTACTAATTGTCGGTATTTTGAAGTAGCATTTCTTTTTTAGAGAGCACTTCTCGAATCTGCAACTAAACGACATTTATTTCATACCATCCTCTGTTTTTCGCTACTCAGTCACTGTAGGCATTAACCGGTTATAAAATCCTTATTTTCTACGTATGACATACTTTCATTTTTTAACAAAAAATTTTGTGTACTCAAATAATACAATATTAAGATAGATTAAGTGATACAGTTTTGGTTAATTAAACGTTCAATTCAATAGAAACTACTTTGTATGACTTACCTAACCGACCGTGCAGCAAACGCAGTAATCGAACAAGGATGAAAATGTGTAAAATGCATTTACAATACTTTTTTTTTGTATGCATTGTCAAGATAAGATCATCAACGTAATTGGTAAGAAAGAGAAAAAAAAATGATAGGTACCTACTCTCAACAATCTGATTTCTGCCTTTTTCTTTCAATCACGTCTCGTTTATCAACTTTTTATCTCGCGACACGTGCATTTTCTTCATTGAAATCGAGGCTCCATGATTGAGACCACTACTTCTTAATGCTTATCAATTAGATTTAACAAGTGGTCTCAATTTGGAAGTGAAAATTTTATAGTAGTAAAAGCGATCTCAATTTGGAAATGCACATATTCTCTCGTCTCTTATAGAAATAAAATATGGTCTCAATTTGGAATAGAGAATTTGTTCTTTTCACATACTTTGTACAATGCTTATAATTTTGAATCACTCTTTACTTAGGAATATCTGGCTACTGTGACACTGGTTGAAATATTTTTCAAAAGTGATGCTTAAAACTAAATTGAACTAAGAACGATATTACTAGCTCTGGTGGGACTATAAAAAATGAAGAGTAGCGTTACCTTGAAACGCAATATCTCAGTTCGATTTCTTCTACGAATCTTATCATGTCTACAACTGTACATTTTTCTCTTACCAAAACTGAAAAAGCCAGGATGGTATATTATATAAAAGTTACTTATGTCGTTTAACACGCTCAAATAAAAACAAAACTAAAAAATGGTCTGTACTAGTAATTCTTGTTCGTGTTCAATAACAATAAAAGATGATGTCATAATTGGTAGCAATGGTATTGATGATATTGGTACTCATTATCCAATGCACGATCCAAAATTACCGAAGAATGTTTTAAATTGTATCAGATTCGAAATTTTAAACAGTGTACAAAGTATGAAAAAAGAACAAACTCTCTAATAGAGAGCCTCTATTCCAAATTGAGATCACTTTTACTACTATAAAATTTTCATTTCCAAAATGTGACCACTTTTTAAATCTAATTGATAAGCATAAAAAAAAAGCGGTCTCAATCATGAAGGAGCCGTTGAAATAAATGAATATTTCTTATACAGAAGGAAGAAAAAAGCAGATCTAACAGCATCATCATGCAAAAGCTATTATACTAAGTATTTTTCTTTTTTTTCTTCGAATCAACTTTTTCTGAATATTGTATAAACGATGTACACATATAACTTGGACTTGAATGTTTATGATTATAGGGACGGTGTGGTCCAATTTTTCTGGATATTGAATAACTAGACCACAGCAGACAACGAAAAACAAGAGAAACTTCATAAAGACAGTAAACGTCCGATGCATTTTAAGTGGTCGTAAATGTCTGGATGTAGATTTTCAATCTAATTTTGTAATCGTTTCGAGCAACTGTCCTAATCTCATTTTTGTATGATAATAAGAAGTCATTCGATACATCTCTAAAGGGAACATTTTATTTATTGAAAATCATTATGTCATTACCATCATGACAGAATTCGTTTCGTATAACAAATATTATTCTTATCACAAAAATGGTGTTCAAAAAATTTAAAAATACAAAAAAATATAATTAAATAAGCGAATAAATTACCTGTTACCTTGTATGATACGTTGTCGTAATTCGTCACGATCGATCGTTTTTCAAAAATAATATATTCAGAAATATTCAAGATGATTAAGCATGTTTTGACAGGATGAAACGCATCCGCATGATGCGTTACATCCGCTGCCAAATTTAGAGCAAGAACAGAAACGGTTCGAGCATCCTTTAGTGCAGTTATACTTCTCCTTTTTTCCGTTATTTGGATTTTTTTCTGTTATTCGACCACTCATTCGATCCACATTTGCTTGTTCTTCTTCATCTAAATCTCTTTCATCAGACATCGTCTATGGTTCTGACTGCACACAATCTAAATAAAGTTCTCTAAAAAGAAAAGAGTAGCTTACTGAAAAAATTGATCAAATAGAAAAACGGTTTAGCATAGAACTTCCTTGTTGAACGCGAAAGATCTACATTTTGGCTTTGTATGCTTTAAAAAGAAATTCGTTCATGACTATATCCAGAAAATCTGGTATCTGACTTGAACATAGCAACATTAAGATATTTCTTCAACTCTTCATCTCAATCAAACTCTCTTCGGCGTATAACAAAAAAAATTATGTCGCTGGTTTGACGACGTATATATTGCTATGTAAGTTACGAATTTCACTGTTTTTTTTATGCAGATAAAAATCTAGTACGATGATATTATATAAATTCAGTTAGAGTTGCATATTGTAAGAAAATGTTTGATTATATACTAAAGCGTACAAAGAACTGATTTTTTTCACACTATTCTCACTAGCAATATGGGCTATTCTGCCATTTTAATAGAATTATACAGACCGGTACTAGAATGATAATCTGGTTCATTGCAGTCAAATTTTTTATTTGTACCGCATAACAGCTTTCTCAAACTCCATCATAATTCGTTATGGACTCCATGTCAGTACGAATTCACCGACATCGCTGCTCATTTTCTAATAAATTTACCGACTTTTCCCAGGTCACAGTATAAATGATATCGGTAATACATGTTCACGATAACTAGCATTAATTCCGAATAACTGAGATAAATTTCTGGTACAACTTCAAATATTCCATCAAAGAGCAAATCCTACAAAACAGATTTGTGTGATTCTGTTGTGATTCTCCTTGTAATCGTTCATACTACTGGAGAACGCAGGAATCTTTCTAGCGACCAATTGTCCTGCTCCCCTTCAAAATATCGATTCGCGGTAATGTCATTTTTTGCATTCGCGGTAATGTCGCTCGCGGTAATGTCGTTTTCTGTACTCGCGGTAATGTCGTTCGCGGTAATGTCGTGTCACGGAGTTCAAGTATTACAAAGTATGATCCATTGTGCGGATTTATCCAATCCAACAAAGCCACTGGAGATTTGTATGAAATGGACTGATCGATCGATGGAAGAGTTTTGGAGACAAGGAGATAAAGAACGTGATTTTGAATTGGAGATTTCACCTATGTGTGATAGACGTCTAGCAAGTGTTGAGAAACATCAAATCGCTTTCATAGAATTTATTGTACATCCATTGTGGGAAACATGGGCTGATTTACTTTATCCTGATGTAAATAACATTTTGGAAACATTAGAACAAAATCGTGACTGGTATCAAGCGCGTCTTTCGGCTCCTGCATCAGTATCTGCAGGTACAAATATAACAAATTCGTCTTCGCCATCTTCAAGCCCTACACCAATGACAAAAACAGTATCATCGTCAAACGAAGAGGATTCTTTGATGAAATGACATCTATATACAGTCTTGGATAAGTCTTTCCTTCCCTCTCAAATCTCACCCATCATATAGGGTAGAAGTCTGAAAGTTTGTGTGTATATATATCACTATGAATGTGAGTCAGTGGAGACAGCGTTATATCAGATGGTGTCTATTTTTCCTTTGAGTTTCATAACTCTAGATTTGGAAGACATTGCGGATCGGCAGGCATATCATTATCTGACGCTATGTTCCGATTATCTATGATGCAATTTGGTAGTTAGTTCTCGAAGAAATAAAATCTTGACAGATAGTCAAGCGCGAAACTATCGATGCTTGCTTGCCTTAACTTCGACAGCGTATCGATGTATATCGCACATTCCTCATCCGTCTGATTGTACTCGAAGAAAAATAAAAAGATATTCGAGACGCGTTGCTCATCACTGATCTTGTATCACAACTGCTTGAGTGACAGCTTTGATATGGACTTTTGGACCTCGCTTGATTGAAGTAAGAAGCAGGTGTAAAAGAGTAAAACATGTTCGTTCGTCCACAACCGAAGAAAAGAGAAAAATCCAACCGGGAGCTTGATATACACGGATTCATTTCGTCTTCAACTCTAGTGAAGTTAGTCACACACTCGAGTTATCCAGCCTGATGATTAGAAGTACAAAAACTGATGAAATCAGTTATACTACGTGAATGGCTCGTTTGGTAGATTTCCAGATATCAACGCTAAACATAAGCTAATCGAACAAAATAACAGAGCAATCTAGGTTTCTCTCCTACTGAAAACATCGGCTGGATGACATTTGAAAGTTTTTTTATTGATGATTCACACTTTCATACATCTACCAGGCATAGACCCAAGCATAGGATGTGACTAGGGATCGAGTGGGTATGCCAACGACATGTCCGCCTTGTTGAAGTATACATTTGAAACCCCGATCGTCAAGCGCATCACCATTTCTCCATTCGTAACAAAAACCTCGGCTGAAAAAGATTGGATCCAGATCATGCATACGACAGGCTGACCATTCGACAGTATCGTTGGAGACTTATCCAAAATGCGAGTAACTTGACACTTCGAAATTAAATTGTTCAGCATTGAAATAAAAAGCGCTGTCGAAATAGTCTTCTGTTCCAGTTGAAACGATGACACCAGGAAACGAGCGATTGTATTGGGGATAGGCATGATAACAACCTTCAAGAAAGTTCAAGTTGCCACTTTGTATAGCTAAGGAATGAGAGAAGAGTAGACCGCGACCGGTCGCGACATCGACGAGACGAACTCAAGCTAATGGTTCATAGATTTTGCCTCTGATTTTATGCAGAGTGAGACGAGCTTGGATAGGAAGCTGAAAACCGTGGAATGTAGTAAGAAGATTCTTCGTCCCACGAACGATGACGAACATGGTTTTGGGTGTTGTGACATTGGAAGGTAATCAATCTGTGACTCGAATGGATTTCTGAAATGGAACTCGGCTGAAATAGGAAGAGAGACCGATATTTGACATATCTGTCGATGTTGGATAAACTTACAAGTTGTTGAACCATTCACCGAAAGTTGCCCCTTTGCGCATTCATTTAGTCCCCCAAAGTGCTGTTTAATCGTTGAATCCAGCACTTACTAACATGTAAGGAACGAATTGAATCGAAGCGACACTTTTGTCATCGACATAACAGAAGAAAGTCGATTGATCGATTGCTGAAAACGATGATCAATAGATGCTGTCGATTCGAATGAAAGTTATCACGAACCTGGTTCACCCGTAATCCAAAAATGAGTGAGAACACCATGAGAGACATCCAATGAAAGTGTGTGAATGAAAATTTCTGTCTAATGGTAGAAGAAATCGCTTCTGCCTAAGAAAAATGACTAGCAATTATCTACCTCGGTTGGAAAAAACGGTTGATCGGACAGGCCAATGCCGAACGTTTCCAATTCCAGTGCATCAGTGATGAATAACCATGCAGAAAACAGCCACCATCACCAGATCGCCATTTTTCGGAGTGTGATCCGTATCGATGTGTACTGATATGTATTTCTCGGCTCGTTCTTGAGGGTGAAGGCGAAATCAATCGAGAACTAGCGCAATAGTTATTCATGGATAAAACAAATCTTTTTACTAGTCTCGATTCCTGCTAGTTCAGCAAGCGGCTCTCTTGGTCGATGCCTATCCCACAGAATCAATATCAACAACAAAAAGGAGAGATTGATGTAACCCTGATCTGGATTGAAAATCGTCATGCGTGTAAAACACAATCATATGAAACAACTGTATCGGTGCGAACGAATAGGAGCAGAAATTGATTTACTATGTGTTTCTTAGTGCAGTTTTCTTGGAGTTGCATGTCTGTCAGCAGTGGAATAAATTGACAAATGTACCCACACTTTGCCAAAATATTCCGTGTGCATCAGCATTGCAGCCGAGTTGATTCAGTCATATTCAGTCACCGAAGATGCCTTGATGAATTGAATCCTTCACAAACATTTCTCTCCGCTGCTAAAGACTGCAATATTCATCGTCAGAACATTGGTTCGACTGGTTGTTGAAACCTTTTCGAATCGTCGAGACATGTGTATATATTCTTTCTTTCTGAACATAAGATGCCTGTGTGTGAAAAACTCTGAGACTCAGAAACTAAAAAGATACTAATGACAGTATAATATGGGTTGGGTCCCTATTCGTGTACGCATCACTTTTGCACAAAGATCAACGCCCTCGATGAGAGAATATTGTGTTCTTTTGTTCACCTCTTACTCAGGTGGGAGCTGATAATCATCATTCGAAAGTAAGTAAATGACGACTAAACAAAACAAGCTAGTGAATATACCGAAACAGTTCATGATCAATCGTCGAATGCGTTGACTATCATTAACTGCGAAAAACGAGGAACTCATTCCATGTTCTGATAAACCTGTCAAGATGGATATCACCGCGGACATGAATGTTATTTTCCCCCAGAGCCGGTGACTAAAGTATCAAGAATCGTTGACGATAGAAAAGTGAAATCATTCCCATACCTTGGCATGTACTTCGACTGTTCGGACTTAATTGCGGAATCAAGAAACAGATAAAACCACAAATCCATTGTAGAACAAATAAAACCAATGTTGTTGCACCAACCCATGAATGAAATGTCATAAAGTGTGGTCGTTTACCGAGTTGCTTACTTCGCACTATAGCTGCTAATCCAACAGCGCCGGCAGCAAATGATATTAGGAGAATAGAGCATGACATATCTTGACGGTTAGTTTTGGAGCCGTCCGAGCTGTGTGATATAAAAGAATAGCGTTTCCGTAGCAAAGCATTATCCCAATCGTCATCATCAGGGGATGATAACCAAACGGATTCGATTGCCAGTCATATGTATTGGTAGAGATCCTCTTATCAAATAACGAACCCACGGAAATAACACTCAATAAACCACATATTTCTCCACACAAAAGTAATTTAGGATAACTTGATTCAGGACTTTTTCCGACCAGAGTATACATTGTCTTTTACAACTCGCCTTGTGACAGACGTTTCTTCCAAAAACACTTTCACTCAGTTCTTTTCGATGGAGTAATAATGGGAGAAAAAAAACAACAGTCTTTATATTGACATGTGTGTCTTCCTGACGATCCGTAACAACGAATCAAAGATTGTTATCATATAACACAGCAACATGACTGTTTTTTTACCATCATTCGGTCAATGCATGGTACTTTTCAATTCACTTTACCCACTGGAATGAATAAACAAAAAAAGAAGGCGCTACATGTGCGTGTGCCGAAGTTGAGACGAACAGAAGACATTTACACGCGTATCCTGTAGATGGTGCCAAAAGTGTTTGACTTTGAAAACTGAATCTGCCATTCGAAAGAGTACAGAAAATCACCTCGGTTTATGAATTTTCCGCTCTCCCAGAGGCGTCTTTGAAGGATCTGGAGACCGCGACTGTTTCCGGACGTTTTCCGTAAAGAAATAGCGAAAATTAATATATTTTCTTTCTCTGAATTTTCCGACCATAAAAACTTGACGGATTACACGTTCGACAAAAGTCTATTTTTCAGAATCCGAAAGAGCTGAAAATGTACGGGCCAGGGTAACTTTTTGTGCTCTTGCGAATGGCGTGCTCAGTTTTCCAACTCAAACTTTTTCGGCAACTACGCTAGGTGGTGATCGCATGGACACTCTCTTAACCCTTTGGCGGCGGGGTTAGTTTTACTTGAACAACTTTATCATATCGCATGGCCTGTTATGCCTGTTACACTCTGTGAAGAACTTTCACAGTTGGCAATCAAAAGAGTCTTTTTTTATTATTAGGAGTTCTAGAACGCGGAGGGCTTTGCCCTGTACGGTATACTTTTTCCTAGAAGTATTTTAGTGTATGATAAGTCCCAAAATAGGGTGCCACACATAGGCCAACATTGCATTCTTTGCATTCGTAGCTAGTTTTTGTTTCGTGCTTTGGACCACGGATCGTATGACTGCAGACAAAGCAACATCTTCGGCCATCGGCTGAACTTTCTATTTTGTTGCAAAATGCCGTGCCCTGATACGCGCGAGCGTCTCTACGCATGGGCACGTTAACATCCATCGATTCAAAGTCGTCATTCTCATCAAGATTCATGTCCACATCACTTTCACTTTCAGAAAATCTACTTCAGTTTTCTTAGGTAGTGGATTAACATAGTGGACTTTGCAGAAACACTGTGTTTTTCTGATTCCGATAGACTTTATACAGGATTTTTTTGACAGCTCTGTGTTTACATCACACCTTTTTTGTTCATAAAATGCAGAATTTCGAGCCTACAAATCCATATTGCTTAAACCTCACGCGAAGTTTTGTTGCATGCGAAAAGTTAATTTTAACTAAAGAAACTCGTGATTTCGATAAGTCAAAATTTTCAATAAAAGACCGTACATCATACCGACTACTGATTAAAGAATCTTTACTAACTGTAAGTCATCGACCAAACTTAGGCAACACAACACATTTAGCTCCTCTTTTGGTTTTTCTTAAAACCTGACCCCAGATCA